AAAAAAAAAACCAACCAAACCAACCAAGTAAACCTCTCTGAAAATTATTCTGAATATACAAGAAAATATTTTAGGTTTGCACATTGAGAATCTTGCATTCCAGGATTTTGGATATTCAAGTATACTTATCCTTTTACAAGGATGAACATCCTAAATCACATATGAAGGAGTTCATGCAACTTCCACACTGTAACAAGTCAGTAATTCTGTGAGCATGCTTTCTGTCAGCTGGCAAAACATAAAGAGGGTCTAAAATAATTTTAACAGTGTTTTAAGCCATCATCCCTACCATGAATTGTGTAGAATGGTGTTACCCTCTGCCCAGTTCCTCCCCCCTCAACACGCAACCAGCAACAACCAGTGTTTGAAGTAAGCAATTCACATATAAACCCAAACGCTGTAAGGACAGCCAATGCCCTTCAACTGGCAAGAGGAGACAGCGTGTGAATGACCTGCAGTGATGAAACGCTGTTATTTAGGCATTCACCCAGTTTGCAAAGATTTTGGGAGTTCTTGGGTAATTCAAGACTTTTTGTTCTGCTAAAGATGCAAGGAAAGGACATTTTTTGCCAGGATCAAGAAAGGGCTATTCAGCATCCAGACAATAATTTGAAAGCTCCTGAATCAGAAAAGGACCTAATGCAGGATCTGAAGAAAGCAAATTCCTGACAGGTATGTGCATTTCCTTGTATAGGCCAGGGCTCTGGAGCCAGGACAGTTGTCTAATTAGGATGGCAGGCAGCAACGACTGAAGCTACACTCACTACCTACGGATGACAACAGGATGAAAACAGCAAGGACAAGTTATACTCACTGACCCTGCATGGTGGGGCACAACTGACATCCAGTACCAGCTGATGCACCAGGAGAAACTGAGAGAACACGGACCTACCAGTGTACCTCTTTGACTATGACTAGATGAAAAAAACCAACTCTCTACGGAGTGTGTGTGTGCGTGTATGTGTGTGTGTGTGTGTGCGCGCGCGTAAACGGATAAGCTCTATTTGTAAGAACAGGTGTTTAACAGCCATGGGACTGTTTCCAGAAACGAAAAGTTCTACTAATTACCAGAAATGCTCAAAGTCATGAAACATCAGAACTAGGTATTGTTAATATAAAAATCCTTGAGCTTGACAGAAATGTCTGTTCAAACAAACAAATCGTTGCTTATCTGACGCAGAGAAAACCAGTAGAGTTTAGAAAAAGACTACTGAAACACCATGAAATCCTGGAAGCTCAAGAATTGGCTAATCCAGAATTACATTTGCACAGCTAGACATCTGGCTGCTACGAAGTATTTTAGGTCGGCTTCAGGATCTCAGTGTCTTATTTTAAAAGCTTATCAAGACTACTCAAACACTGCTAGAACATCCTCTAGCCATGTCAGGTTTCAACAGCACGAAATCCATTTCGACAACTGCTGCATAGTGGTAGTTTATTTCCTTATACCAGAAAAAGCCTGGGAATCTTCCTAAATAAACTAAACATATTTAAAAGAGAGAGAGATCTGTTTTAACACTGAGATCATTAAGTACAGGCTCTATCTAGGAGTACAAATCCTCGTGAAGCACACTGGAAGACGAATCTATTTAAAAAAATGTCACCTTGACTGCAAGCATACAGGACTCAAAGTATGATCCCCAAGGAGCAGACAGAGCCCATGGGAGACCTGGTTCATAAGATGGGGAGCTATACCCAGAACAACGCCTTCAGGAATCTATGAGCAGTAAGATACAAGAACAAAGAGGACAGCACAGGTGATTGATTTCACCATGCAAAGCCTTCACCCTCTGCTCCAAGAAGCACCTCTAAGATGATTGTTGTTGAAGCACCAGAGAATAAAAATCTGATTGACATATACATTTCTGTAGCAACAGAACCTGGTGAGGCTTTGTCCAAACCCAGGTACTCTGTCCGAGACTGAGACTACCTCAACGTAAACTGCTACATAGTGAACTGCCATCAGCCTAACGGTACAAAACTAGGGCATTTTAAATTCAGCACGGCCTGGCTGAGCAGGCACAAAAAGAATCAATCTGACCAACCAGAGCAGACTGTGGGCACTGGAAGCTGCCTTCTCAAGACCACGTCTTCTCAAGCTCAAGGGGGCAAGTGGATGGTTTGCTGAGGACTTCTTAGCCAGCATATTCTGGGACAAAACCATATCAGAGATCTTCAAAGATGCTGAAGCAAGGGCCAAATTCAGTCATAGGACACCTGGAAGCTTCAGGGTCAGGTGTACACTACGCAAAGTTCTAGAGCTTAACTGGTGCTCATATTTAATTTCAACTCTCATATATGCAGAAAAAAAAGGGCACAGCTCTTCCTGGTGGCAGAAAGCTGAAAACAGGCATTCAGTGAAAGCATTAAAAATTTAACATCAAATGAAGATAACCACACAACGAGTAACCAACAGGGGAGTATACAAATCTAACAGAGCTGAAATGAACTGAAGCGATACTGGACGCTGGCTCTACTATACTTTACACCAAGTGAGAGGATGGAAAGATCTAGAGCATGCTCTTTGTTTATAATGCAAAGCAACTTTGCAATCTTGAAAAATTAATACTTACCGTGGGCTCTTGGTAGCTTCTCCAAACAACACACAATACGTATCAGTACAACTTAATAATTGATATGAACAAATACAATTTTTAGGAATGTTTATAAGCTAAAATTACACTATGACTGTATTTACCCAACTCTGTGGTCAGAGACAGCTGTCAGAAATTTGTGGATAGCCTCTTGCTTCATCGTTTCATGGTATCTCCCTTGCAAGTTATTTGCAGCCAAAGAGAGTAAACTATAAATCTAGAAGAGCCCAAATGAACTAATTATTATTCAAACTCAAAATGCATAAAGAAATACACAGGAGTAAGACTACAAAGAGTTCTACCATAAATTACTACTTACAGGGAACCTGAAACATCTGCCACTCCTTCTCTAAAGCATACAACTATAATGGGGAGTTAAGACTAAACCCACAGAGTTCATCAGGAGCATTTCTGAATTAACCAAGTTCCAGCACAACAATGAACTGACACAAAACAAAACAGTATATGTATCGTAGTCTAAAAAAAAGTTAGCAGTAGAAGCAGCAATACACCAGCATACTCATTTCTGTGGTTTGTAGACAAGAGTTCTACACACTCAAGGCAATAAGTTGTCTAAAGAGAACGAGGCATACCACTACTGTAACGTCTTCATTTCCAGTGCATATATGGACTGAACATTTAGCAATTTACAACCGACAATCTAAGTTAACTATATCTGACAGACAGGGATTCTTTCAACTGATTAAAGAACCAAGCCTTCTGCCAGACATCACTATGCATCAGTGATGGATTCCAGAAACTGAATTGCCCCTGTGTGAGTTTTGAGATAGATAGTAGAAAATTCAGCAAAACAAGTAGAACCTCAATAAACCTGAAGGAATGGTGAAACCACTTTCGTGAAATTCAGGTCACTAGCCAGTTTTATATACATCTACACATACACGTATGTGTGGTGGGTTGATCCTGGCTGGCAAATAAGCCCCTATCCAATTGCTCGCTCTCTCCCCCAGCAGGATGGGGAAGAATCAGAAGGGTAAAAGTGAGAAAAAAAATGAATGCGTTGAGATACATACAATTTAATAAGTGAAGGGAGAAAACCTCCAAAAACCTAAGTGACACAAAGGAAGTCACTCACCACCTCCCACCAGCAGGTCAATGCCCAGCCAGTCTCCAAGCAAGGGCTACTTCAGAAAAACTCCACCCACAATTTTGCTGAGCAAGACGTTATAAGGTATGGAGTATCCCCTGGGTCAGTTGGGGTCAGCTGCCCTGGCTGTGCCCCCTCCCAACCTCTTGCTCACTCCCAGCCTTCTTGCTGGAGATGGCAGACAGAATGAGAAGCAGAGGCCTGGATGCTGCACAAGCACTGTCAGCAATAACTAAAATATTGGTGTGTTATCAACACTGGTTTTGTCACAAATCTAAAACACAGCACTGCACAGGCTGTTAGCAAGAAAAGTAACTCCACACCAGCCAAAGCCAGTACAATATGTAAGAAAAATATCTGCCCTCCCAGATAACAGTTTCTACAGATATAGTCTATATGACAGCCCCTCAGGCAACAGCCTGAAGAGCAGACCCCCAAGCTGGAAGACACTCATGACCATTAAATATCCCAATACCCAAGACTTTGCAGTAACTGTGAAAGTTAGCACTTCACAGGTCAAGAGGCAAGACCCACCTCTCAAGTGTGAGAAGCCTGTATTCCCTCCATGTCAGAGAAACTTGTGTTATAAGATTATATGGCCGTAGCCTGCTAAACAAGTCATTTATCAAAGGCAGAAAGCATTCGTAGCCCCTTTCAGTAACCTGAGCTAACAGACCACTGAGCCTCAGACACTGATCTTGCTAGCCTACACTGACAGCTTTGTGCATAGTTATCATTTTTGCTCCTGCCTAGCCCTTGAGACAGGCAGGGAAAAAAAACAGAACAAAACACAACACAGAAAGAAAGAAAAAGAAGCTGTAAAGTGAATTAGAAAGAGTGAATTACACATTTTTGAAGAGCCACTGCAAAAAGCCATATCATAGGTAACAGCAACTCAAAGCAAAATACACAGAAATGTGGTCCTACTGATCCACCATGCATCATCTGGTAACAGCAGTAAACAGCTTTGTTTTAGGAGAATATAAATATACATACTCTATGCTGCTCTTCCAATGATCTGATGACCAATTTGCATTACTTTACACCTTATTCCCTCCTAAGGATGGATTTTGAGGATGGCCAGTACCAACGTGCCCCCTTTTTAGCTTTAGCCTTTTCACTTCCAAATTCAATCAGATACTGTACACTGCAAATTAGTTTGATATCCACATTCTCTCACACACTTTGGCAGACAGGAAAAAAACAATGCATTATTTTTCTACTTCTCATGTCAACATTACTAACATGAATAATCCTTTGTTCTGTATTCTAAATCTGAAGTCAACAATATTAGGGGAGGGGGGGGAAGGTTCCCAAAACATTACTACATAGCATTTAAAGCCCTGTGAAAAGCTGGGATATAACAGAAAGCAGTCTATATAGATGTAATAGAACAAGTATTCAACTAGCTGTTATCATTTAAAGTAATGATTCTACAGAAAATTATACAAATAATGAACAGATTTTTGAGGCAAAACACCGAATTTGCATTTCAAAGAGAAATTAAATACCTCTGAATGGTTATTGATTTTTGCTAGCTCTGCTGCTGTTTTCTCATCCTTAGTCTGTAGATTTTTGTCAGCTCCCAGCTCAAGCAATGTGAAAATTACACTTTTATGCCCATGCTGTGCTGCCCACATTAATGCCTGCAAAGAACAACCTCGTTTTACCAAGTTTACACACGGAGCAAAAAAGAACAGAGGTTCAATCAATAATGCAACCTTCATAAGTTCTTACATGGCAGAATCTGGAGATAAAGACAATTAATGCAAAAGAATCTCAAAGTGGTGTTAAAGCAGAAGAATATACCAATGAGTATGGCTGAGAAAGTTGTACTTAGAAACAAGTTTGTGGGTTCTTGCTTTTTAAATACTTATCATTAATTACAACTCACAAAAGTAATTTACTTACTGAATATCCATTTTCATCTTGGGCGTTTACGTCTGATCCAGAAGCGACAAGAAGAGCAACCACCTGAGGATAACCTTTTCTAGCTGCATACATCAGTGGAGTCATTTGTCTCCTGAAACAAAAGGGGACGGGTGAAAAAAATTATTTCAAGATATCAAAATCCAATTGCATTATCAAGTAGAGCACCTCAATTCTGTAAAGGTTCTCTGTTCTGGAGAAGAACTAAGCAGAGGATGAAAGCTCAAGACACCACACTCACGCTTCAGCACAAGGGTCAAGTTAACAGAACATACAGCTTCAGCAACTCATTTATGCCCAGTTAGTGCATTAACTCACCAATAACCTTCATATGCCCCAGCTATGAAACATGGTAGCTCAACAACTAAACCATTTCTGGTTTGGTTCTGAATACACAAAACCAGTTTTTAAAGACCATCCTTCCTGCTGCTACTACAGACTCAGCAGCCCGTCTCTCATTTAGCACACAGTTTAGCTTAAGGACAAGGGAATGAGCGTAACTGTTAGATCACAGTTTTCACTCCCTGATAAAACCAATGTAGGCAAAAGAGTCGCAGGTCACACAACTCTTGCCGGAGCACACAGGCGCAGGGCAATAGCGCAGGGTGCACACTTGTTAGCAACATTCATACCCCGCAGAGGAGTCTTCAGAGAATTACATACAAATACCATGCTGAAAACCTTTTCAAGTACTAAAACTAAATGCACATCAAAATATTTTTGTCCTTTATCTCATTTTTGTTGTCTGCTCCCAGAAGTGTATCTGTTGATGCTTTCTCTCCTACACGTATTACTATTTCTTACTATCCTGAAGAAGTACTTACAGACACCACTTTGCCATTATTCTGGGTTTTTTTTTTTTTATATCCCAAAGCCATGACGACAACACTCGATTGATCTTATGCTTCTACTGAGACACTTGTAAGATGAAGCCATTCTGAATGTTGTGAAAGAAGAAAAATACTACCCAAAAGCTTCTGTTAGAAGACTATCTTTCCAGATGCCTGACCCTTAATTCTTTGGTGGAATAAGATTGCAGAATTTAAAAAAATGCAGTATAGGAGGACAAAGATGTGGAGTTTCTGGTCACTATGAAGTAATCAGATTTAAGCTAAAATATTTTACTAGTGATGTTCAACTAAATTTTATTGTATCTTAAAATGCAATATTTTTTCCTGAAAAACTATCATGTATTGCTTTTAATGTGTGGCTCCGTGTCAAAAATCCACTGTCAAAAGAATATTCTATCTTGTTAGGATACACCAGAGGGGAGAATGGCTCTTTCCAATATTGTTTCTTAATAATAAGTTCAATATCGACCTCTAGAGGGACCCCAAAAAGCATATGTATACCAAACCAGCTGTCTTAAAATACAGACATTCTGCCTCCTTCTAGAGTATTGTAACAACTAAGGCTTTGCTCACCTTTCTTTGTTATTGCTCATTGACAAAAGGACATTTTGTCTTAATGAAAACACAGTTAAAAGTGCACTGAAAAAAATCCAGTCATATTACAAAATCTGAAAGAGCCTTATAAGAAAAAAAAGAAAATTACTTGGAAATAAACAAAACAAGAGGCAACCAGGCCTTCAAGACATACAGTTAATATGAGAAAGGGACTTGGTAATGAAATGAAGAGACTTGCATCAGTCTATAACTTAATTCAATTTAGTCCATCAACACTGCAAAAGCAGAAGTTCTGACTGAACAGAAGGCATCATTTTTACCATGGGGTAGAGTCAATCAGTGGAACTGCTAGCTCAGAGTTCTGTAGTCTCCATCTTTGGTTGGTTTTGAGACCAGACGGCAAATGTCATAGTGGAGGTGGCTTTAAGGAAGAAGTTGGACTCGAGACCTCCTGAGGTCCCTTCTGACCTGAATTACCCTGTGATCCTCTGAAGATTACTATAAAAGTAGAGAAAAAGACTCTACAATCTGCCCGTGTACTTAAAAACGAACTGATGAGATAGGGAATACAGATATCTATATATAAACATATACAGGTATAGATACCTATATTTTAAAGAATAATCAGAAGTTGATTGCAACCTAATAATTTGTAGCAACAGAAATCAAACTTGCTTGCCCAATGCACTCCCACACTTATTTCTGTTCAGTGGCAGGTAGCCTTTGACTGACCATGCTATCACCTTTGAAGTATTTACACCTGGCTGCAAATACAGTCCATTCATGCCTGTTCATATTTTCATTTCTTCTGCTTCCAACTTTTTTTTTTTCTTTGGAACTTACACACTGCTACTACCTCACAATAACTTCTCCCTTTTCAAAGGAAAAACACTGAACAAAAGTCCAGAGGCTACAAAGCAGTCTTTTTCTCCAAAGAACATCATGCAGTTACAGCTGTACAGTACTGCAGACGTGGTATCTGAAATCAAGGCAACAACTCAATGACATTAAAGCCACCGAAAAAGCTTCTCCATTTTTAAGTAAAACCCAATAAACATGACATTTAAAAGGCCCACCAACATGAATGAGCAATTAGTACTTCAAGCATTCCATTTTAATGTTCGAGTTTTAATTTCAAAGGCTACAAGCTGTTTCAGGATAGAAACATATGTAGTGCTGCCTAAATCTGCAAGTGTGTTTATGCACCACTATATACGAGGGGGTACTGTTTAACGTCTTCGACACATGCTGCGTAGCCACCACCTCAGAAAGCAAAGTCCATTTACATGTACGTCCACAAGAGGGAGACCAGAGCATTAGGGAAAACACACGTTGTTTTCCTAACCCTGCAAAGAACCCCCACAAATACAACAGCAAGCTTCAGAATACCAAATCCACTGTTACTTGCTAGAGTTGAAGAGATATTAAATGTATTGGTACATCTTGTTGCAATCCAAAAAGGTAGACAGAAGGTGTAGTGATAACCATCTGGCTAGAAGATCTGAAGAATCCTTTCATCATTTTGAGGAACCATGGAGACATTTGCTTTTCAGCAATCTGGCTTGCAGATGACCTTCTCGTCCAAACACCCATGAAGTCTTTTTGTACAGCACAATCTGCCACACGACATTTGCCCATATTGGACATGATACTGAAGTCATAGTCAGTAAATAAAGCAAGTCTTAAAAGGCATATAAGCAATTTCTTAATTAAGCATGATGTCTGTTCCAACTATATTTGCTTCAAGCTATGCAGCACCTAAATAAAAAGTAAGGAATTCTTCACTGGTCTCATGCTCTCTTTTGTTTGCTTATTTTTATCTTTAGGTGTCCCTGCTTTTATGTCAAGGCTGGCAAAAAAGACAAAACTAGAAGGCTTTTCAGTTTTTAGGGCCATCCAAAACTTTATATGTGACATCTACACAAAGACACTACCAGATTCTTACAGGCTCACTTCATCGTCATCCTGCCAAAAAAAATGGGGCAAAACATCACAGGACAGCAAACTGAGTGGAACAGCCCTAAAAGCTCCCTCTTGGAGCCTCCTACGCTGGATAACCAAGACCCACAATAAAACCAGGCGATACAGTGGTAGCTAGCTACCTCACTGAAAAATGTCCTGAGTACCTGTCTGTTACCACTAAGCTGAATCTGTGGTGCAGATTCACTACACCCGACAAGCACATGTTCTTATGTTTGCGATTATGCTCTCAAGCAAGACAAAGTTCACCTTCCTGGAAAATTTCAGAAGAGGGGGGAGAAGAAGAGGTGTCTTCCATCTAGACACAGATTTCCTTCCATCAAGGAGATATCTGTAGAAAATTCAGTATTTCAGGCTGGTGATCTTGAGACATATAAGTTGTATGTAAAGTTTCACAACTGGATATATGTTTATTAACTAGACCAGTGTATCAAAACATTAGGAAAAAAATACAGCAGGTAGAAAGCAATTAACTTCATGAGTTTTAGTCCCAATCTTTTCTTATTGAAATCCCAAAGCAAGGAAATGATGCTACAAGACACTTCTATTTTAGTCTCTTGATCTGCAAATCAAACACTGTTTCGGATAACCAGGAAGCATCTTCAGAAGGTTTTGGAGCCAGTTTCACCATCCCAGTGCTGTACATTAAGCCTGGAGCTGAGAAATTAAGCAGTACCAGTGTGTCCACAGCACCAGAAGGAAAGCTATTTGCCCATTATTCGGCATATTGAGGTTTTAAGTGATGAGGTGGGAAACCCTATACAACAAGTATTGGAAGAACACACTTTAGTGTACTGTGAGCTACAAGATACTTTTCCCAGGCACTATCTGCTGGAGCAAGATAGGAGAGTCCTCTACCTTCTTGAAGCAGAGCTTGCTAGAAGAATTGAACATACAGCTCTAAGAAGGTTGGGCTAGAAAAGGTGACAGCTTAGTTTCGGGTTTCCTAGTTGTAGGCTTCATTTCAGACTGCCAGTTCTTGTACCTTTCTGCTTCTGAACTCTATTTACATGATTGTTTCAGAATTAAAAAAGGCATCTCTAAGTTCTACAGCACACAGAGGTGGGAAGGTCAACAGCTACACAGTTATCTTCATATGACTGAAAAACACAAAGGATGTGATTATAAAATGTGATTAGCATAAAAATTACAATGGGGATGGCAGAACTTTGTGCTATGACATTCTTAGTTATCCTGCCCTGTCCTCCTACATCCTTACTCCATCAAATTTCTACAAGCTGGTTTAGCTACAAACATGCACACTTTGACATAAAGTAGAAAAACAAACGAGTTATCTGCATCATCAGAAACTTCTCAGACTGTTTTCAACTTTACTTTCAAAGTGGGGGCAAAGTCTGCAGTCAAGAAATTCAGAACATGTGTGAAATCTACTCCACCTTTCTAATTAAAGGGCAATTCTCAGTCATGTAAAAAAAGAAAACCAATTCTATGCAAATGACCCACGATCAGGTAAGCTAGTGTCAATCACAGGACTTTTAATATACTTGGGATAGAATGTTACTGATATAATGCTAATGGATTTCAGTGCAGGTTTTGTTTCTGTTTTCTGTGACATTCCAAGATGCCACAGTACATTGTCAGAATGTCTCTGTTAAAAATAGCATCTAATGTTGCTACTGCCCCCGAGTATTTTATCCCTCTGCCCAGGAACTGTGGTCCACAGTTGCAAGCCTGCCGGTACCACCGTACAGTCAATACTACCTGGGAAAAGTACCATCATCTATTTCGGAGTCTAGACTCCTTCCCCCTACCAAAAGATCTGATGAACAAGACTCACATTTCTGTTCAAAAGCCACTCTTCCAAACTCACACATTTACCATGCTTTTGACTTCTCCCTAACTCAGATAAGAGGAGGGAAGACATATATCAACATAGCCCAGACAAACACAGACTTTGATAAATGTAATTTTGCATGTGATTTTTTTAATATTTATTCCCTCTGTCCTGATGTTTGACCAACATAATAAACTAAGTCTTTCTGTCCCGAGTTCATTGTGCTAGAATAAAAAATTCTCTGAAAGGCACGAAGAATAACAGAGCGTAACATCACAAGCTATTTTTTGCTCTGAGGTTGAATAAAGACCTTGACTCAATCAGTATCAAATTCCCTCATTTTCTTGCCCCAGCCAAAAACCGCACTGTAGAGCATTAACTTTTCCCAGGCTTTTTACCTTTACTGAAATGTACTATTTGTCATTTGTCATGGTTAACTATCACACAATGATAATGTCAAGGTCTGTGAAATTACTATGTGGCAGCGTAGAATGACTATTTTATCATTAGCAATAAATATCTCGTTAAAACTAAGGTGTTACACAATTGCTTTGTTGTGACTATGCAACCTGAAAAGAGACCTACGTCGTGAACTGGGCAATACCGCAAAGAAAATTTCCCCCTTCCATTTATCATCTTCTTAAGAGGGCAAAATAGACCAAAACCTTCATCATGAAAACATTTTTTGATACTCCTCAAAACTGCTCTGAATGTAAGCATAAGTGAACATACACAGACAACTTAATACCAGACCCGAGTAGTTTTAATTTTCATGTATATGCACTCACATACATGACAGTGTGCGTCAAGCTCAATTTTTAATTTGTACAAATGACAAAGGTCTAGTTCTTGTATTATCCTAAAAAAAGAAAAAAAAAATTAAAGACTTTCTGAAGACTTTTCCTTAAACATACACAAAATTCATAACCATTTTAGGGCAGAAACACTGAAGACAGGCTTGGTCATTGACCAGGACTCAATTGTGCCAGAAATTTTAAGAGCGAGGAAAAAAAAGCCACACAAATAAAATCAATCCTCCATATATCCCACATGGAACAACAGACAAAGAGCTTATGTCAAAATAAAGAAGGATTCAGTCATTCACCTATTTGTACCTTCTTCTAATAAAGAGCTATTAGCATGAAACATCAACTTAGAACACTCTCCTTACCAGCAAAGCCATTAGGTTTCTTTTACTCTACTTCATGTAAGCAAGAACTTGGGAGGATGTAATCATTAAAATCCCTATTTACTAAACAACCTATGACATGTAATCCTAGCAGCAGTGTTTTAGTTATCAGTTGGTCTTGCCTTTTCCTTCTGCCTAAAACAAAATCACAGCTTAACATTAATAAAACCAGTGTACCTTTAAGAAAGGACTGCAGGCTAAGAGAGGTTTTTTAAAAACAGGGTGGGTTTTTTTTAATTTTTTTTTTTAAAAAAACCACTATGGAAGTTACTCTGCTGAATACTTTCTTCTCAGTACTCTATCCTATTGCACAGAAACCATTCACCTACACGCTCCTAAATGCACCTTCCTTCTTATTTCAAAAATAAGTTTATTTCTCACTAGTCTTCCGTGCTCCATGCACACTTCGTGAATTAGACAAAACAACTGTAAGTTTCTGTCTATCACCTTTAGATAACATGAAATAAAAAAAGCCTACTGGCTGCTCTGACAGTGCAAGAGAGAAAGGACAAATACTAATCTCCACCTTATGCAAAAGTTAAGTATTCTGCTTCGCATTCACACACATTCCAGTTGTTGGTGGACAAAAGAGAAGCTTCCTCAAATCGTTCCAGTTCTTAAGTGCTGAGATAGTCAAATAATGTGAACCTTAGTTCTTACACCTGTGGTAAACTGGTCACACAGCAAGTACTCTCACAATAATCTCAACTCACGGACAGTTCTGATGCCCTCCTACACAACATCCTGCTTGCTCTAACAAAACGTGAAGTGGGACTGCAGTGCCACAGAGGGCCTGTTTGTCTGCTTTGATCCCCTATCTTCACAGAAGCTGGTTTGATGAGTTTCATCCCCCTGTTTCAGAAGACAGTGGAAGGAGCCCAGGAGAAGCAGCAGCTGCTGCCTGAGCAGTTCTAACGATGGAGTGCTATGCACAGATGAAAATTACTGGGAAGGAATAAAGGCAGCGTGAAGACTTGAAAAATCCAGACCTTGTGATCTAACTCCTACTTTTGTTTAGTACAAATATGACATTTCTGATTGTCACTTAATTTACCTTTTCATTTGAGAAAGTCTACTGCAAAAGTGAAAAAAACCACAACTGGACACTGTATCTGATGTACACCTGTGGAACTCCTATGTTAGCACAAGGTCTTAGGAAACAGAGAGATGCCAAATAAGTACTTGTATATAAAGACCAACTATGCATAACATACTCTTCAGTTTATAAACAAAATTTTGCCCCCAAAATCCCCATCTCTTGTGTCAGAATCCAAACTTCTTTGTTCAAAGCTTAGCCAAAAGCCTTTCCAAATGTCAACCTGCAGCTTTGCACTCTGGCTTACACTTTCAAACACCCAGAACAAAGCCTAATAACGCAAAGACATCCCCCATTTTTTGAATCAGGATGTTTATTTTAACACCCAGCTATCTGACAGCAACAATTCAAAACTATTTCAGAGTCTGTAGCTTTCTCTTCTTTCATAAACAACTTCTAGCCTCTCTGAAAAGAATAAATGAATGGCACTGACATTTGATACCAGCCATCAGTGGCACTTCAGCATAACTATGTTTCGTCATTGTCTATCAGTACTACGCTCACAGTGAGGTTCAGGGCTCAGAGCAATTGAGTTCTACTAATGAGAACCAACAGGCCGCCAATTATATTCTAAGAGGGATACACAGTCCACATATCTCAGGTAATGTGGTGGAAGAGCTGTGGTATAAAAAACGAATTCCAGTCAGTTGAAAAAGTTTCAATTTCACCCAAACAGTATCTTTTTTTTTTTTTTTTTTTTTCCAGCAGAAGGATGACAGTTTATCCTGGGCCAGCCCAGAATTTCCTTCTTTTTGATGTAAAACGAAACACTGCATCAGACTGTGCAGCTACAGACATCTCACAGTGCACTGCTTCAGACTGCTGAGACACAACGTGGTAATCCAAGAAACAAGCTGTTACTTGTTTTAAAAGGGAGATTAAATCTCCTTTTAATCTGGATTATTCCAGATTGCACTGGAATAAATGTATTTTATTTACAGAGAAGTTTTCTTTTTCCATAGGAGGCTGTCTGTGAAAGGAATACAGCTAGATACCCACAAAAAGCTCAAAAGGAGGACATGAATTTAAATAGAGAATTAACTGATTTAACTTACATCCTTATACAGAAGGGGCAATACGATTTGGGAAAGGCAGAGGACATACTTCTTGCCCTTATACTGCAGTCAATCGAACTAGTAAGATTAGTTTTTATCTTAAATTTACATCTCATTCAGCTGAGGAACACATTTAAATTTTATACAATGATCATAATCTTATTTACTGAGATGAATGACTGTACTAGGAGAAAGAAATGTCTGGACACTAATCTTTCCTTATACAGACAGCAGCGAAGTTACAAAAAGCTAATGAAGTACACATCTCAACCAACAACAGCTATGACTATGAAGAGGTCTCTGTATATTAACATTAAATTTAACGCTGTATTCACAGACGTGTTTTTTTGGTACCTGCAAGTAAGGTTAGGGTCAGCATTCCTCGATAGCAGCAGTTCTACAGTCTTCAAGATGTTTTCCTCTGAAGCATGCGCAGTACATGCTGCCATCAGCACGTTGTACTTATCTGTTTTGAAAATTGCGATTAGAGAATTACATACATAAATGCAAACATCATGCTAATCCAGAAATTCCTTTAAAAGCCTTTACATTTGCTAGAGTTGTTAATTAGGTTTTGATACTCTAAAATATTTAGAAAAGGGTAAGAAACTTGTTTTCCTTCCAGTGAAAAGTCATTAGAATTACTAGGTAAGACAAAGGCATCACAGAAGAGAAGATACTCAGAACCATGAGTGTATGGCAGTAGTAAAGCATCCACCTACTGAAGTTTAGAACACTTCTTAGGTACCCAAAAAACCCAGTAGAAGCTTAGCTATAGATGCTTGTTTCTCAAATCTTGTTCCACACCAGTAGGTTCACTCCCTGTTCCTCCCCACCTCTCCCCAAAATACTGTCAAGGGAAGAAACAGCTTACAGTAACATCAATTTTAGGGAGAAGAGAAGCCCATCCAAAGGACAGTTGAAGTAACAAGGCTTTATTATAGAACTCAAGGAGAAGGAAGTTAAGTTTACTAAAGTAGACCACTGTGGTGCAGTAGTGGCAGGAGGAGGACTAAAAGTATGGTTTTAGATGTGGATTTAAAGAACAGCCCATAAAGATTCATCAGGGGGAATTAGCATATTTGCTCCAGCTCTGAAGCCAGCTGGGTGGTACATGCCACCTTTGCTCACAAATCAGAGTTGTACACCACTGCTGTCTGCCCACACAAGAGGGGAGATCTCCTTTCCATGGCTCTCCTACAGACATGTGGGAAGCATCACACCCCAAAGACCTTAGCAAGTTAATTGGCCCTAGAATCAATTAGAAGACTGCCCTTTGAACAATTGCCTGTTTCACTTACTGCACAAAATTGTTCACAAGTTCAAACATGTCTTTAACAATTTGTTCTAGCAGGTATAGTTTTAGCTGCACCTACATCAGGCCATACCATGAAGTGTTACAACTTATTTTCGAACTTTCTTGTAGAAATTTTAAGACCATGTATATATTAATTTCTTTATTCTTCAACTGAGGCAGATTTTATTATATCTAAACATGAGATATTTGTTATGTACTTTACCCTCCTCTGCTCTACTTTATTTCTCACCACTTCTTGTCCCTCATCCCTCCAACCAAAGATCTCAGTTCGGTATTTAAATTCATCTATTTTTTTAATATACCATCTTTTAATTTTCAGCTACCTCATGTAGAAGTTGACACACATAAATCACCATGTTAAATGAAAGATTAAGTTTCAGAGAATCACTCCTGAACAGTAAGCAATTAACATTTCAGTAAATTACTTGATATTAATAAATTGCTTGACAGATTTTTACTCAAAATGTTTAACCTGATTATCAATAACAATATGAATGAAAAGATGGCAGGACCTTGAACAAAGGTAGCAATAAGCACTGTTAATTTGGGAACGACATTTAGGAGGAACCTGTAGTTATATTTGTATTCAGTATTTCCAGTAGTGATGAAGAGTGGGAAATTCACTGCTATTAGCCTACCTAAAGCTCATACATGTGAGCAAGAGAAGAAGGGGAAGAAACACATTAGAATTCTCAGGTTTCTCTTTTGCACAGAAAAAACGGTAAATCCTGCAAAAAATTATTAGTTCATGTTCAGCCTAGCTGAAAAACCCAGAAGAGCCAGTGAATTCAGTCCCCAAGGATGCTGCATTCTGATCCCATCACACAGTCAATGCTACATCAGTCCTTGCTCTGTATGACTACCAAAAAGGGCAAAATTAAGTAACCACTTACAAAGAATGACTGAAATGTGAAAAAAGGTGATTAAGTATAGGTATTATTAGTATTATAAGCGTTATAGGATAATTAGAGTAGGATCATTTATGTGATTGTCTACTGATGTAGAAAAAAAGCAGCAGGACCAGTGACATTTAGTGCCACTTTAGGATGGCACAGCTTTATTGAACACATGTGGCCTGACCTAAACCAATGACTTGCAAGGCTGTTCCTGGCTGGACAGTACTCTGCTGCGTGTAGGCCCTAGCTACTGTTTCCCCACATCGGCTAACTGGGAAACAAGCCAAGATACCTGATCCTAGAAAGGTGCCACTTAGGGCAAACAGCTGGTCACACACTGAAAAAGCGCCGTGCATGTCAGTTAACCAGCCAGCTGAAACTGCTGCCCATAGCAGTTTCTGTCCCGTTTACAGCTCTCTACAGCCATAAACAAGGAACAGCTATGAGTTGTAGGCAGCCACAGTTGTAGGCAGTCACGTGGAAGTTCTCTGAAGCTGGCTACAAGGACAGTAATTCAAAGGCATGATTGCTTTTGGTGCAGGCAATCTACTCTAATCTCTTACTCTGATCAGCTGTTAAGAAGTTCAAGACAATTTTCAGAGACAGACTTGTACCATCTGCATTTCAGTCTACTACTGTTACAGGTATCGGCAATTTACCAGAAAATATGAGCACTGCTTTTATGTACTTGGCAGTATTGTCGCATCAGTTTCTTCTGTACTGCAATGTTTTTTCTTGAACTTCCATAAATCTTCCAACACAATGAAAGACAAGGGAAATAACCAGTTTAAGTAGGAAAAAGCTATTATTAAGCTATAAAAATTAACAGAGGAACTGGTATTACTTAGAAGCTCCACGGAACTCTTGCAGAAAAAGGTGATCTAGCAACACACTGAAGAACAGTTTTCACTTAATAGAAAAATCGTGCTCTAGTTTTAGAGAAATCCACATTAGTTTCCCACGAACTGGAAAACTATTCCTGTTGTTTGGGATTCTAGCTGTTTTCTGAACATACATGCTTTGTAACAGGACCAAAAAAGGAAGTTTTAACTGTGCAACTTTACCCTAGAATTCTTGAACAAGTATTTCCAAACACTCTTTTAAAAAAAGTACTTGGAGACTGGGAGGTGGTGGTGGTGGTAAGACAGAACAAGAAAGAAAGAACAAGTAAACCCATCAACTGATTCCAGATCAGTTCCAAGAACATATTTTTTTACTCTAAAACTACTACTTTTACTTCAAAACTGTGAAAGCTAGACTAGGTCCCAGTTCCACTGTGAACTTTTACTTTTTCCCTATATATGCAAAAAGAGAATAAGGATAAGACAATGGCTGGTACTGAGCATTACTGGCCAGTATTTTTCATTCATATCTTACCTATTTCAAAGCATGCATTAGCACCTCTGTCCAGAAGAAGACGCACTACTGCAAAGTCAGCCACACTGGCAGCACACATCAGGGGAGTCCATCCAAACTGAAAGCTAGATTCTATGTCTATACCTGTCAAAATTAGGATACTAAAATCATAAAACTGCACCACAATAAACATGCATTTTATAAACCTTACTCTCAGTATGTACCTTTACAGAGGTTACACACTGTTTGTGTTTAGTCCTAGGGAGAGAAGTCTCTTACACCATTTCCAATTCCTTAATGCACTTTTATTTAGAACACCAGGAAATAACTTTTAGAACTGACACCAGGGAAGCTCAGATCTCAATCCGAGAAGTTAAGTACCACAGAAAGACTACATTTTTTTAAAATGTAAGTAATAAATTTAGCTGCAAAAATAATTTCAGAGACGTGCACAGAATCTCTGTCTTCTCCATTTAAATGTAATAGCTTTCTTCAACCAAACTGAAAAATTTTAATTCTTGCCAAGCCAAGTGGACTGCTGTGGGAGCAAATTGCTTGTCAGACAATTAAGATCACACTGGCTAGGTTTTTCCTGCTTCTCAGCTCCTTTTATTCTCTGCTGTGCAAGGCAGTTAACCAACAGATACCAGTTTTGCATTTGGTACTAACAAAATACTCTCTCGATAGAAAGAACAACTAGATGATTATGCAAGATTCAGTCACAATCACTAGATTGGTTTGTTACTCTTTAGAATAGCCACATCTTCCTTTGTGGCTAGAACTAAGCTTGCCAGACAGCCCTCCCAAATTCACCAAGAACCAAGTACCAGACCGAGATACTCATCTGACAACTCTCAAATAAAAAACTCTACACATTTTAGCAGTAAGAGGAATCATCTTTCCTTTAATCCTTCCTCAAATATTACTTCCTCTAGGACAGCTTCCATCAGGCAGTTCCACCCAACAGTGATTATGGATAATCAAAAATACTTCTTTGGAAGAGACAGCTCTGAAAAAACCCAAAACTCTCCTATGAAATTTGTGGCACTTGAGCTACACGCATACCTTTTCACTCAAAATGTGCATTTACTTTCCCTGCCTTGGTAGATTGTCAAAGATGTGCTCAGTGTAGCAGCATAAAGTCACTGAAGCCGAGGGAGTAACAGGTCACTGCTCTTAGACTGATTCTTCAGCTCTTTTAAGATCACCGGAGTTGTAGAAGCAATCAGTAAAAAGCTAACATTCAACGAAAGCCAGGTGTTGAAGCACTAACACTTTTAACACCTGCAAGCTATAGAAGCTATGGTCAAATCTTCTTAGTAATGCATACATACTAGCTGCAGGCCTCAATGTCACAACACACCAGTTTGTCTGCAGTGTACAAAACATTCAATTGAAGCCCACAGCCAAGTTCTACAAGGGGAGAAACTCTGTGAAGCATGTGAATAACAGTGAAGCAAAAGAACAGCAAGGGAAGAATTATGTTCTTTCTGTGATTACTACAATTTCTCTGGTGTGTCTTTCAGATATTTTGTTGACTGTGGCTAATAATAGTTATGGTAGAAAGGCTGTTTTTCTACAGAAAAATGTAACCTCAGATTCCAAAATGTTAACAAGGTAATGCCTGACGAACCACAACCTACCTCTACATACAGCTTTTTATGCTAAATAATTCCGTGTTTGACACCGAAAAAATGAGGTCTTAAAAGACTTCCATTTAGTTTAAGAACAGCTCTTAGTATTAGAACCCATTCACATTCAGACTCAATTTATCTGAGGGAAAAGTTCTAAAATACTTGATTCTAGAAGACTTCTGATAGAAATACTGATCTCTTTCAAGTCTATCAGCACTTTGTCCTGTGGTTCCACAATACCTTAAAGCTGAGTTACATCAGAGCTACTGATGTCTCCCACTACCGGGCCAGCTATGGTTCTCATCTGACTTGGGATTCAGAGTCTTAAACCAGTTGAAAAATTATTCACATACACCCCCCCCCACTCCCATAGTTTACTACTACTTTAATTCCCTGAACTGGTTCAAAAAAGATCAGATGAGATCCAGCACTCATGCAAAGCCAGGAGTGGACCAGACTGCTGAATGAAAACAGGTAAGAGGATTTGACTGTAGCTGTAGCTTTGATCAGCCTGAACTGTCATGAGGTCATAACTTTTAATTCCACTTGAGGAAAACGAACATGAGAGTTTTACGGCATTAGATATTTTCCTCCCAAAGCAGACCAAAATGCCCATGTGATCTTTGAACCCGCCACTTGTTTGCACTACTTTTTGTGACAGGTACTTCAGAAACTTGTTCTTAAAATGTCATCATTTTATACGAGAGGTAAGAAAAGACATCGTGATTATCCACTTCCCGAAGCAGCTCTGTAAAACTGCCTCAGCACCAAACATTCTCAAAGTAACGGCTAAGCAAGCCAGAAGACAACGTGTTCTTGCTCTATCTGAAAGAATGGCCCCAACTGTTGCTAGGAAATCCACTTCCAACACAAACCCTGAGCTTGGTCGAGTACTGGTAGCAAGCCTCCTACAAGCTCTACTGAACATATACTAAAGGAAACTTTGGAAGCAAAGATTTAATCTCACTGAGCACCGAACCTCTGAAGGACAATGTTACCTTTCTTGAGAAAGGCCTCCCTGTTAGAGAGGCACGGTGTTCTTCTGCTCTGCAGGACAGCACTGGATGGTCAAAATTTACTGTTAATCATATTTCCAGGAAATGACAGGTTCTCTTGTGATACTGCCTTGTGCATTTATAGGAGACATGAAGCTAGACTACAGGAATCTTTGGCCTGACCGTGCGCTTTTACAGATACCTATCAAGATACAAGATACCTCCCAAGAGCACAGAACTGCTCATTATGTAGCAGGCATCAATGCAGAAAGTGAACTATTGCTGTCTGACTGAAATACAAGCAATTAAAAATGGATGGCTGTACCAAAACAATTAAGTAATCTGACGCACAGACATCACCAAAAACTCTACCTATAAATAAGAACATATTTTCTCAAAGCAAGACAGATGTATTTCACTCAGTATTACACCTCTGCGTTTCAGCTTGTGCAATAGTTTTTATTTACTTTAAAAAGAAAACCATTCCTCCACTGTGTTGAGAAACAGTCTTCTTCTAAAAGGCCAAGTAAAGTCATTGTTTTAAAACTCAGAAAAACCCATTGCTAACCAGGAAACTACTTTCTTCCAGCCATAAGACAGATTTTCCTCAGAGAACAAGCTCTTGGCTACTATATTCTGCTTGCTTGCTGAAGCAGAACTTCCTTACAATTATCGCTAGGCAGGTCACCTCAGCTATGCAGTTTTTCATTGCCCTGGATGCTTCAATAAGTGATCCAATCCTCCAACCACTGAATAGCAGGAACACATTACAGACAAATACTGAGTAACAGAACAGGGAGAAAGGCTTTTAGTGCTAAGAAAAACTACTTTTTAGTGACAAATGCCATGTAAACCCTATTAGAGCTTCCAGAATCACAAAATCTTTGTCCAGCTGGTGTTGCCAGGACAGCAGTATTACACAGGGCACATACCAGTAACTTAACAGTGCTGAGAGTCAGGCGGGGGCAGGGGGAATTTCCAAACTGGGGGAGCATTAAAACAAAAAAAAAGCGCCAGCCATTCCTTCCTGACCCCCCGCAACCTTCCAACACCAGAGACCACACAGTGAATTCTCACCCTCAATTTAAACCACCTCAAATTCAGTGTTTGTAATCGATATTTTCACATTAAAGATGCATCTGAAAACAAAGAAACACCTTATTTGACAGTTTACACATTATAGCTTTCTCAATTTTCAGGGCTCCTGAAAGAAATATAAATTAGAAGGAATTTAGTGGAATACTGCATGCTGAATCACTGAAAAAGTAATCTCATTTTTAAAATAAGAGTTTATAAACTGTATTGGAAACATTCAGATACTCCTACATGCACTCAACACATTATTTTGAAATGAGAAACTTCAAAGCTTTAGAATTCTTGCCATATTTAATTAAGAATATTTAACTTCATAACTGTCCTCACCAGAGTTTAAGAGGTCTTCAATTAATGACACATCACCACGAAACACAGCCTTCTTTAATGCTTCACTCTTGTCTGCCTCCAACATTTCATCCAACTGCTAGATAAGCAAAGAAAAGTTGAAAGCTAGTAAGCATTTAAAAGTAAAAACTACAGCTTGATTTTAGTATAAAAGCACTAATGATCTCTGTAAGGACTGATTCAAGTTCCTTTTAAAAGCATCACACGTTTGTTCTCTATTAAAGCTTCAGAGGCAGCTGAAGATTGCTGCTGGCATTATCAAGATTATACAAAAAACTTACATAAACCAGCAAGTGGAGAACTATTCACTAGTTTCTTTGCAGATGTAAGTGGGTATAGAAAGAAGTCATATTCCATGGTAAATTTTGAAGCCGTAACATGAGAACTCAGAATTATACAATTTACCCCAGCACACTGTAGCCTCCCTTTCCAACAACTTTTGTAAAGCTTTTAATGAGCGTTTAGTGTCTAGAAAACCAAAGGTGAGAAACAGTCAATGTAATAATTTAGCCCTAATTTTGATCTACTCGGCCAACAATTTCTAAATAACTAATCTTTGGATAGAAACCTCAATTTAAAGATCAAGGCCCCTGAAAAACTGACTATAACCTTTAGCAGGTACTCAGTGATTTCCATTTTCCAATTGCAGCCACGAACCAAATGAACAGCTAAAAAGCCTCGCAGAAAACCCCTGAGAGACCTCACACCTACTACATGCAATAAAACCACTTAGATCTTCACATTTGCAAGAAACATAGATTTAACATATAAAACAGCTTTACAGGCCTCGGGTCACTTCCAAACTTATTCTCGTGTTGAAATAGGGACTAGGGCCTGTTACTAAGGGGGAGAAAAGCATTTTAAATAAACATTAAGGTTTTATGTAAGAAGACAACCCCCCCAAATTTAGGTTTTATTTTCTCC